TTGCAGCAAAACCACCTTACCACGCCAGTACGGATTTTCCTCAAGGAACTTTTCGAATGCCAGTAGCTTTTGCGGAATTCCTTTAATCATATCGAGACGATCGACGCCAAGCATTACCTGCCAAGTTTGTACAGTTAAAAGGACAAGCACATGGACAACAAATAACTATATTACTCGGGCTTTAGTGTGTCGGATATATGGTAAATTAAGAATTGAAATACATAATAGTGCCATAAGGTAATGATCCATCTACCTTTCGGCCTGCAAACCTTTCTTTCAATTCTTTGATGTGTTCTTGGACTTGAGGAAGCTTAAGAGCTCGTATGAACCGGTCTGAGTCTATGCTAATCGAAAACTAAAGTTTCAAGCATTGAAGAACCAAAAATTTAGTATACGCATCAGTAGGAGTTCAACTAAAGCAATAAGAAACTAGGATTAAATAAAGGCATCAGAACAATCGAGTGAAAACATATAAAAGAATCCGAACATACTGCAGCGACTCGGGTCAGACTTCCTTGATCCTCGACCCTTTCAGGTGTCCCTTCAACTCCGAGAATTTGAGTACAAGCACTAACAAAATGTCTGGCATAGTCATAGGTATGAAAACTGGAACAAGAACAAAGTAAATGTAATGGTCATCTAAGCACTTCAAATTCAGTAAAAGTTAGCAGAAACTTACCCAACCAAGTCAGCTGCAAGAACTGAACGCAAAAGCTCGGATCGGGATGGCAGTGTCCTATGAATTTCAGAAGAAGGGAATGGCGTGTGGAGAAACCAACCAACTTTCATTTTGGTGTTATATTTCTTCAGGCATTCCGGAAGATACATGAGGTGATAGTCATGGCAACAGACGACATCGCCCTCTTCGTAGTGTGCATTTACAACATCTGCAAACATTTGATTCGCTTTTTTGTATGCACCGAACTGTGTCTGGAAACTTCTTGTGGTAGCGAGTCGATCTTCTTGTGGAAGTCCAAGGTAGTGAAAAAGGGGCCACAGAATGTTGTTGCAATAACCATTGTAGTACTGATGAGCAATCTCTTCAACGAGGAAGACCGGGATACACCTCTGCAAAGATAAAGTGCATTCGATCTGAATTACATATATCACATAAAATCAGATTGAATTTCAACTAAATACCTTTTCAGCCAATGCTTTAGTAAGAGCCTTCTGTCCAATCTCGTCCGGAACATTTACGCCAGCCCATCCAATCCACCTTGCCTCAAACTCCTTGACACCTATGAATTTAAATCTAAAATCATTAGATTCCTATACGGAAGGTGGGGCAGTGTTAGCATGTGAACCAGTTAGACAACATAGTCAATATCGTACCCAAGAGAGCACTCACTAGACCTCCAGCACTTATTCCAGCGACCAAGAGTCTTCGCCTCTCCGAATAGCTGAAACCGGAAGCCTATTTGCCACTACCAGAAGTCGTTGCCGGAAAGGCCTTACAACTGCAGCCTCTTCCAAGTATTGTTTGAGTAAAGCAACTCCGGAGTTGTCACCTTCTTGATAAAATCGGCCATTCTCAGATAATTCATCTCCCCAATGATTATCAATCAGGTCATTCGCATATGTAGCTCTAATGTTCTTCCTTTGCTCCCTTAACACTCTTTCTCACAAAAGACGCTCAACACGAGTCGGTATATGGCTCGAGTTACCGTTGTACTTGTTTCCAGGCATATGGTCGTTATCGAACTAGATGACCAATACTGATTTTATGTCCTGCACTTGCATTTTAGTAGATTAAAACATAGTAAGATAGTGAAGAATATTAAATAAACTTACGAACACTTCCATACAAAGCTGTTCGAAACCATGTTAGAGAAAACAACCTTCCTTCTCCCCTGAGACCTTTCCTTGGGTAGTTTTTGAATTGCTTCTTGTCTCAAAAGGATCAAGAAATCATTCCTATTCCTATAAAAAGAACAATAAAACATAATGAATAAAGAAAATAATGTGATAAGTATTGTTTTGAGTTCAAAAAACAAAATAATGTGACAACTGTTATTTGGGGTTTCCTTGTAATGGAAGAAAGGCACTATACTATTAAAAACAATAATTTCGTTGATACTATATTAGATGAATAAATAATAATAATAATAATAAATATTTGTTTATATAATACTTAAACAATTTATTATTTACCCTAAATCAAATATAATTACATTTAAACCTACAACCTCATGTAGATAATAAATGTTAATATTTAATTATTTACTTTCTCTAAAATAAGAATAAACATAAATTCTTTACCTATTATCATCATTACCAAATTTGGCATTTTTAAAGTTAGTGTTAGGGATGGTAACTGGCATGTCGGATGGGATTTTACCGATTTGAATCCAACCCGATATAATTTTAGTATTTAGAATTTAAATAAAAAAATTAATTTGATTTATTTTTAACATAATTTTCAATTTTTCGTATACTTTTTATCAAAGTATAAAAATAATTGAACCAACTAATAATTTATTTAATTTAACAACATAAAACAAAGTAAATTTTAATTTAATGTCATAATTCTAATAATTTATATGAAAAGTTTTACATATATTTTAATCAAAAGCTAACTAATAATATATAAACATATAAAAACGTATGTTCGCAATTATCTCGAAGCTGAACGAATTCTTCTAAGCCCGAACTAAATCTTACTATAAACCTAAATTTCATTTTTTTTTTTAAATTAACCTTATCAAATTGGGTCCAAATCCATCTAATTTTGATCTATTTTCATTAATCTATGGCAGAATAATAATAATAATAACTAATGAATGAATTTATTTTTTTCAGTTTTTTATATATTACGTTAAGTAACATCGCAACTAGTTCATAGAAAGGTAACATTTCAATCATATTTATTTATTTATTTATTATTACATATGAATTTTGACCAATTTTATAAGGGAAAATACAATTATTCTACAAAGTTTTCTTAAAAAATAATATGAATAATTCTATAGTATAATATGTTAATAATATTTTCTTAGTTTATTAATAACGCTTGCAGATGTAACTGTTAAACTTCTAAAGAGAATAACATTTATTTTTTATCATTAAGATCACTCATTAAGTTCTTAATTACTCTATAAAATTTGGTAAAATAAAATGTATTAATTTAATATTATAGCCTAATCTGATTTATGGATGGAAGATATTTACCACGAACTTTATGTTTATTTTTTCTGTATTTCAATATGATATGAATATAAATATGATTCACAGTATAAAAAAACCAGTATTAAAGGTAAATGTGATTGCTTACGATACAAGAGAATGAAGGAAGACCTGGTAGTGCAAGGACGGCTACTGGGGAAATGAATCGAACACCTTGTGGTCTTCAAGAATGGTGGAAATGAAGAAAGAGAAACATGTTTTGGAGGGCAATTGGGCTTATAAAAGAAGAGGAGAAGATGGGTTGTGGGGAAATAAGCAAGAAAAAAGTAGAAGAGAGAAAGGAATTGCATGGTGGGTTTGTTGTTTTGTGTGCAAGATGAAGGCAAGTGGTGAAGGAATTATTGGGTTAGAAGGATAGATTGGTGTGGCGGGGAATTTTCGGTGCAAGGCATAAATTTGTCATTCATGCAGGAGAGCTTGGGACTCGGGAACACACCATGGATGGGCTGGCCTGCTCAAATCACCTGATGAGACGGTTCATGCAACAATTAGAATTTTTTAATTATAATACCTATTTTGTCTCCTGTCCACCTCAAAATACTGTAAAATTGAATCAAACTTTATTAAAAAAAATGACCCATTAACATTGGGTTTCTTTTTCTACCCAAATTTTATTCATTTAAAAATTATTTTTAATTATAATACCTATTTTCGAATATTTTTTATTTGGGTGAAGTAAATGATATTGTAGAACTTTGTTTTGTTGAGTATCTCGGTTATTAAATATTATAGAATTGTTCTTTGATTATAGGACATTGCTTTGTTAAGTCCTTCGATTATTCATATGTTCCAAACTCGTCCTTTTTTGTTAAAAAAATTGATGACAGTCTGAGTTAGATGTTAATCTGCTAATTGAGATATGCTAAAATCTAACCACATAATCTCAAATGATTAGCATATCTTTGGCAACATGTTGCATCCAACTTATATTAATGTTAGTTTTTTATCAAAGAATAACGAGTTTGAAATATATAAATAATCGGATGATCATTTTATAAATTTTAATAATTAAAATACACAACAAAATAACATCTTATAATCAAAAAATTTATTTTATAATTTTTAATAATTAAACAACTCAATTAAATAATGTCTTACAATAAAAAAATCAAGGCTATGTCTTACGTATACACGATAAAGGATGAACAAAATTTCGATTTATTTCAAAAAAATTGATTTTTTAATCCGATTTAAAAAATTTAATTCCTAATTTTATAAATTTAATTTGATTAAAAAATAAATTCAAGTCAAGCTATAAATTAAAAATTGAATAACTAAAAATCTTTAATAATTATTTGATTAATTTTCAAGTTTAGATTGAATCTCTTAATTTTACATAATATATGTATATAACATATGAAAAAATATATTTATTATATATGACTATAGAAAACCGTTATAAATTAGAATCAAATAGTACTATAATATTATAAATATTTACAATTAAATTTAAACAGAAACTCGAATAGCTCAACTTGAAAAAATTCAAATAAAATATAAGTTATGAAATAAGACTCGTCAACTCGAATAACTCAAAAACATTATAAATAACTCTCCTATACATAGCGACAGTACAAGCACATATTAGGCTACATTAGATATCATCGAATTTTAAACACTGAATTATTTATGTCGTTGAATTTTTAATTTTATCAAATATAATATTAAATTTTAATTTTATATTAAATTATATCATTTCAACGTTAACTCGCTAGCGGGACAATGACACTAGATATAAATTTATGATTTTTAGCAATTCAAAAACAGGACCGAACCCGGATCAATACCGGCCTTTTCAAGTCGAAGAATCAAAACACGAGCATTAAGAATGATCTAGTAAATCAGACTTTGTTCAATCTACCAAAAACATACAATTTATATAAGAAATTCGGTATCTAATAATCTAATAGGAACGATTTATCTACCTGTAAACATATCCAGGAAAACAATGTCACAGAGGCAGTAAAATGTGGTGTCCTAATTTTGGTTGTTACCTTGTTCAGCTGGCAGGTCCAGTCCAAGTCGGAGGAAGGCGATCCGATGCCACGGGAGGCATGCCACAGACATTGATGTCGATCGGGTACAAGCGGTATTTAATATCCAAGTCGTTGAAGATCTTAACCAGCTCTTCCACCAAGAGAGCCCTCCTTGTATACCTCTCTCCCATGTCTTGGTGGTTCATTCTATGCGTCACCCATATCGCTATCCTTACTCGATTCAACACTTCGAGTTCCTTAAATACTATCATCGTATCTTGATACCAGTGGTCACTCTTAAGCTCGATGTAACTGCAGCAGATGTTCGAATATTAATATAAATACAGTTCATAGATGCTCTCAAGCAAGCATACTAAGATGAACTATCACACCCAAAGCAAACAGTACATTTCCCTCATGCTCATTCGCGTTATAATAACGACACCGAAATATCGAAAGATAGATGATTTACTCAACTAAGCCATCTTCGTTGATAAAGATTCTTAAATGCAATGTATTCAACTACCAAAAAAATTACATCTTTTTCAACTCACCTCAATATCCTCTGCTTCATGAGACCAATCCTTTCTGCAGGAGTTTTCACATGGATGAGGAATTCAACTATCTCTAACATGTCGGGGCTACGGTAGTAGTTATGTATGGCCTTAGTAGCCAAGACACTGTTCGGTATTATGATCTTCTGGTTATCGTATCTTAAGAAAACAGTAGTTAAGATGTTCATTTCCTCCACGATCATCTGAAATTCATTCATTATGGCATTTGATACCCCAACAATTTATATGAATATTACGATGAAAAGAAGAAAAGGGTTCATATGGTTATCTAAGTACCTGAACTCCATCAATTTCACACCTGTCACCAACATCGAACGGGTGCATAACAAACAAGAATATAATAGCTTCAAATACGGTCTTGCAGGTGTTTCCAAATATGAATGCGACAAGAAGCAGTTGAGAGCTAATAAAAACAAGAACTTTACTGGTGGCAATTCCAAGTATGAGGAGCCAAATAACCAATAAGATGATGCCAATCAGAAAGTTTATCATCCGATGAAGTTTGTTCACAGCTGTTTTGGTATCGTTCAATGTCAAGGCAAGTGCCCTTCGTTCTCTAAAAGCATTGACCTAAAACATTGACATGCATCACATTAAAAAGTAAATCATACAGTTATCTCTATTTTTAGTGATAGTGTCAAATCCAGAGATTGCGTTATACTGTAAGTGGTAAAAGGGTATCAACATTCAACCGATTAAAAACTCAGCATATATACTTCAGAATTTAGTTTATGAAGATCATATAATCTTGTTACCTATATCATACTAAGGCCTAAGTTTTATGGCACATTTGCTGTTATTCACAGGAATTAAGGGGATAAATATGTGCATGACTAACATTTGATTACCAATTTAATGAGAACTACTTTAGATCATTTTGAAAAGCATCCAATAGGAAAGGTTTCGAGGTAATAGAATGTCTTAATTGTTGTTTGATTTATAAAAACATACATGTCTATATATACAATGAGAGAGTAGACAATACTACAAAGCATGGATTCCCTATTCTTACCACCCAATTCTTGAGGGCTTTCTTGCTAATTTTCTTGCTTTCAGATGCACCTTCAAAGAGACTCATTGTCTTCAAAGCCTCGTCTTCTTGCAGAAAACGTTCGATGTCCTCCAAGTATATGAACCTAAGAAGACAATTATCAGCATTACATTGATGAAAAAACCCTCATTAGTGCACCTGCTCATAAGGACACAAGCCAAATCATATAACATGCATAAGATATTGCATAACTAATGGGATTCATGGAAATACCGGGATCCCGGCTTAGCAACATTCTGGAAAATTTTCCTTGCTGCAACTTTTGCCTCGTATTCACTTCTAATTTGTCCCGCAGACTCATCTTCATAAGATGAATGTTGGATCTGCTCATCTAAAGTGGAAAGAGCTCCATGGCGGATTATATTCATCAATCTTTTCATATTCCAAGCAGATACATTTTTATGATTCAGTTTGTGCAAGTGGTCAATAGTAATCCCTTGATCATCCTTATCTCCTGTCCTGGCAGAAAGCGGTGACAGCATAGGGCTTTTTTCTCGGGGAGTTTTCTGGATCCGCCCGCTCCCTATCTGTTTCCCGTAATGGGGTGATGAAACTGTGGACGTCTTGAGCCCAGGAGGAACTGTGGCACCGGCTTTCTGCAGGTTCATAATCTCATTCGCTATTCTTTCTTCCTCCTCCTCTGCCCTTTGAATCTCAACCAAGGGAGGACCTGAAAGCGTCTCGATTGCATACTGAATGAACAAAGAATCCTGGATTCGATCGAAGTAAGTACTCACATGAAAAGATGATGCTAATACCTTAACCAAGAGAGTCTTTACTAGCCACACCATCACACCAATCAAAAGACAAACCAAAACTTTGGTCACATATTGAAGGACCGAACTCTTCGTTTCCTTTTGAAGCTTCTTGTCAAACAAGAAATGCCAAGCAATCAAAACCAACCCTAACCACAAGCAATTTCGAACTGGTTTCCTCACTCCATAAACAAAATACAATACCCTTTTCCTCAAAAGAAAATTCCTCTCTATAAAAAACACAATTATCTTTATTATCCAACCTGAAACCAATCTACCACATATTAATACCAAAACCATAACTTCCCATTTCCATAACATGAGCTTCCATAGGCTTTTCTTCTTTAGATAAGGAATTGTAAGACTACAAACAAAAGCAGCAATAATCAAAATCAAACTTAACCATTCAAGCAAAACCAGAACACTGAATTTATCTTTCTTGTACTCATCAGGCAAATCTTCTTCAAGCAATGGATCATCCTCTTCTTCCTCCATGCTTTTCCCAAGAAACCCAGATCTCGTTATCTGCCTTGACTTCCCTGCTCCTGATTTGGCAGACTTTGGCTCCCCTTTTTCTGGCGGTGGAGGGTCCATCAACCTGGACTTTGTCCTGTTTACAAACAAGCTTGATTTCCTTTGAAAAGTACCACCTTCACTTCTTTTAGAAGAAGAGTTTGAGCTACATTTTACAACCCCGTCGTCTTCTTTTCTTGGAGATGGTGATCCTTTACTCTGTCTTCTTCTTACAGGATGGTTTTCAAAAGACACCCTTTGAACAGCAGCCGCCGAAGGTGACGGTGATTCAGCCACTGCAGGCAGCACACCGCCGAGATGGGGTGGCTCATTAAGTTCATCCATTTCCAGATCCATATCCAATGAGAACTCACCTGAAGCTTTTTGCTTATGCAGAAACTGACCAATTAACTTCGACGGCGGATCTTCCGTTGCTGCTTGCTTGCTTTGCATGAATTCAAAGTCTTCGCTTTCCATGTTACTGTTATTACCACTGCTGCCAGTACCGTTCATGTTCAAGTTCGCTTTCTTCCAGCTACTTTCGGTTTTCTCATCGTCGTTCCAGAAATCATACGTTGACTCTCTCAAAATCTTACCTCCACCGGCGGCGGCGTTGGATGCTCCGCCGGAAGCAGGAATACTACCGTCATTGTTTCTGTCCTCGATTTTCAAGATGACTTCTTTCCGGTCTCCCGAATTAACGGCCATGATTTGCTGATCTTAAGCCAGTATAAACAGACAAAGAACCATATAATGTGAAGAAAAAATAAATTAAAAAATGGGGTCAGAAGTATTTAATGGAGAAGACAGTCTGAGTTCAAAGATGCAAACTTTTTTTATCAGGGTGGTGGAAAGATGCAGGTCGGTGTTTGATTCCTGAGAAAGTGCAAGAAAACCCTTTTCTTTTTCCTTGTCTACTCGTGTAATGAGAGGGTGAAGGAGCGGAAAAGATGGGAAAAAAATTAAAACCTTAGGCAGAGAGAGCGGAGGAAGGAAGAGTTAAAAGTTTGTTTTTACTGTGTAAACTTATTAAATTATTTATGTTTGTGTCGCGTGGATTACGCGTAGATATTAGACTTCACAGCTTACTTGTTTTTTAAAGATAAAAATTTTTCAAACGTCTGCGTGAACTCTTTTTATTGCATATTTTATTTTATATCTTCAAAAGTTTTCAAATCTCTTCAAGAACAATTATAAAATATAATTATTTATTAAAATAATTTTAAATAATTTAATAATGTTATTTATTTTAAAATAATTTATTTTAAAATAATTTATTTATATTTCAGTTTATTTTAGCAGTCTGTAGACGTTAAAAAACAAACAGTCTTCTTCTTACAGACTGCAGACTTTTGATCCACCTTTTCTGTTGTAGATATATACAGATATGATCCACATACTATAGACTTTTTACTTTATAAAAACAAACACCACCTAACAAAAATGATAATGCGGGTGAGTGCAAACATGTTTGCTGGATTCTACTCACTTAATTTACCCTAATCTTATACCTGTGACCGCCTACAATTAAATGGAAATATTAAAAAGTTGGATAAACTGCACGTTTATGGTATAAATTATTACTTTTATTTTATTTTAGTACTTAATTTTTTTAAATAATAGTTAATATTTAGTGTAGGCTTAATTTTGATATGTATCATTAAAAACTTAATGATGATGTGTCATCATAAGATAATTTCATATTATTATTAGAAAATATTTAAAAAATATCACATCAATAATTTTGTTATTTTTTTAATGGTGAATATCAAATTAAAACTTAAAGTAAATATTAAGTATTATTTTTTTAAAAAAAAATAAAGTTTTGACATCAAAACGGAATAAAAATAATAGTTTATATATTAAATATATAGTTTATCCTAAAAAGTTTATTAAATGGAAATATTATATCATTAAAAGGTTCGGGAAATCATTAAAAAGTGCATTTAAGTTAATTATTACCAAAATCAATATTTATTATATACCTTGTTAAGATCTACGATGATATTTTTTTTGGTCTAACTAGCAATTAAAATTTAAACATGTTTTAATGGGAAGATGAGATCGGAATTATTTAATGAAGATCTTTTATATGATTGAAATTAAAGATTTTTGAAATTAAAGATTTTGTTTTATATGATTGAAATAGGTACAATTTTTGAAATTAAAGATTTTTTATATTATTTTAGTAAAAAATAAAATAGTATTATTTTAATAATTTTACCCATTTTAGTAGGTTATTTGACTTGTGATATAATTTAATTAGTTTAAATTTTCTTTTAACAAATTATGAATCTAGTCTTAATCCTATCTAGAGGGATAAAAAATGAACTCTAGGGAAGTTGAGGAGAGTGCTCCTAGTAGATTTAGAACCCATTACCTAAAAGAATACAAATGAACAAAGATAAACAACTTTACCAACCAGTTAAATATACTTGCTCAATCATATATTTTTTTAGCATTGATAACAAAAAGATACTAAGATGATGATATAGGTACAAATTAAAAACTAATAATAAGTATAGGGTCAAAGTGAAAATTAAGCTAAAGTAGATGAAATTTACAAAAAGGCCAATAGCTTTAGATAAGGAGGAGTTGAAGAGTGTCTTTTTCAAGATCTATAATGATACTTTTACCTAATGAACAATTAAAAATTAAATTATGTTTTGGTCCCCCTGTACAAATAAAGCTACGCGTCCTACTTTGATTACACCCTCCAAATCAAAACGTTGAAAATAAAGGAAATAGAAAAAGAAAATCTGTGAAGTCACATATCAATAGACCCGCGGGTGACCCAAATCCAACTGCATGACAGCCCAAGCACATGGTGTTATATCAACGATGATCACGGCACTAATCTAAGGACGAAGTTGATGGGACGGCTCCTACGTGGCGACATCTTACTGGCTTTTCAATTACTAAACCGGATGCGTGCGGCGGGTCGGAAGTCAAAGTCAAAACAATGACTATATATTTGAATATATTGCAATTAATTACACAATAATTTATTTTATGATACGGTATTATTTGAAATTAATATTTGTTTTATTATATGAATATTTATAATCGAAATTTTATAATCTAAAATTTATTAAATTTTTGAATCGAGTTTATAAAATTCAAGTTGGATTCTATTTTATAACTCAACTAAAATTTATTTTTTTCCGAATTAAGTTAAATTTATATAATTATAAATCGACTTTAAATTTTTTAATATCAAATCAAATCAATAATTTAATTTTTAAATTTAATCACCTAAATGACATCATTTATAACGTATAGTAGCCGGTTTTTCGTAGCTATTTCCAACATCACAAATATGCTTTATTCCTATCAAGAAACAACCGCACAAACTAAAGGTGAGCAAGATAACAACCGAAGCTTGTCACGATGTAATGAAATCCAACTCATCAAAACATCGTTATTGACCAAAATCGCTATCATCAAAACATTAAAGACCATAGTAGATGATGTCAAGAAGAATAAACCAAACATTAATTATCTTTTATATATCAAAGTTTTCGAGCAATATTATAGGAATAATATTTTTTTTTAATTTTTTTATCAAAATAGTACTCAAATAAATATTATTAACCAAAATGTTCTCTTTTAATAGATTAGTGTTCATGTAAAAAACGTCTTCTGAAAGATGTATTTTAGAGGATATATCTTTGTCCCGAATCAGGTCGGATTTTGATTGGATAGAATATTTTTCTTGAGTCAAATTGAGTTGATCGAAAATCTGATTCAACTCGGCTCATATCCATCCCTAATCATGTTGGATATTTTATAATAAAAAATAAAATTAATTTTTTTAAGTACAAATATCATATTAAATGTTTTATTACACTAAAAATAAAATATATAGAAAGATTAATATTTCCCCTTTTTATTTTGCATCAATTATTTTCACATGTAAACAAGATCAATATCTCTTTTTTTTACACAATTTTGGGTTTTGATCTAAAAATAATTCACTGGTATCTTAAGAAGATATTCCATGCACATGATAGATTCCGTTTGAGGATCATCAAGAAACTATCACGGAGGGCTTAAAAGGAATGGAATCAGGTCAAAGAAAAAACAATGATGTAAATCGGTGATAAAGACAAAGCAAAAGAAAAAAGAAAAGAAGTATAATGTCTTTCAAAATATGTATTTTAGAGGATACATGTTTGTCCCGGATCGAGTCGAATTTTGGGTGGATAGAGTATTTTTTTAGGTCAAGTCGAGTTGGTTGAAAATTTTATTGTACTCGACCCATATTTATCTCTAACCATATTATATATTTTATTAAAAAAATATCATATTAATTATTTTATTGTACAAAAAATAATATATATAGAAAAGTTGTCATTTTTCCTTTCTACTTTGCATTAATTATTTTCTCACGTAAACAAAATCAATATATATTTTTATATAATTTTGGATTTTGATCTAAAAAAATATTTAATTGGTTTCTTAAGAAGATATTACATGCACCTTCGTTTGAGGATCATCAAGAGACTATTACGGAGGGCTTAAAAGAAATGGAATCAGGTCAAATAAAAGATAATGATGTAAATCAGTGATAAAGACAAAGAAGAAAAGTTATAATTTCTTTTGAAAGTAGTATTTTAGAGGATACATATTTGTCCCGAATTTAATCGGATTTTTGGTGGATAGAGTATTTTTTTGATCAAGTCGAGTTGATCGAAAATCTGATCCAACTCACTCATATTCATCCCAAACCATATTGGATATTCTATAAATATATATATATATATATATATATATATATATCAAATTAAACCTTTTAAGTACAAAAATCATATTAAATATTTTATTATACCAAAAATAAAATATATAGAAAGTTTGACATTTTCCCTTTCTATTTTGCATTAATTATTTTCACACATAAACAAAATTAATATATTTTTTATACAATTTTGGGTTTGGAATTAAAAAATACTTAACTGGCATCTTAAGAAAATATTCCATACATATGATAGATTTTGCTTGAGGATCCTCAAGAGATAAATCAATGATAATCACAAAGCAATAGATATAATTTCTTTCGAAAGATGTATCTTAGAGGATACGTCTTTCTCCCGAATCAGGTAGGATTTTGGATGGATAAAGTATTTTTTGGGTAAAGTCGAGTTGAACGAAAATCTGATCCCAACTCCACCCATAACCATATTGGATATTTTATAAAAGGAAATATTAAATTAAACCTTTTAAGTACAAATATCATATTGAATATTTTATTATACCAAAAATAAAATATATAGAAAGGTTGACAATTTTAACTTTCTATTTTGCATCAATTATTTTCACACAAAAACAAAATCAATATATTTTTATATAATTTTGAATTTCGATCTAAAAAAAATACTTAACTGGTATCTTAAGAAGATATTCTATGCACTTGATAGATTTCGTTTGAGGATCATCAAGAGACTATTATGGAGGGCTTAAAAGGAATGGAATCAAGTCAAAGAAAAGCAAATGAAGTAAATCAGTGATAAACACAAAGCAAACAAGGTATAATGTCTAAATTATTGATTTTTTTTTCTGAATTAACTTCTAAAACGAGCCGTTCAATTCTCATGCATCGTGGTATATATACACACATGCATTGCTTCCTACTTCTTCACTGATCAGCAATTAGCCAAAAGAAATACTGTTGAATCTTTACATATATTGCAAAAGAATGGGTTTAATCAATGTGTTTTCGTTTTTAATTCTTAGTACTTTGTCATCTCTTGTCATGTCCCGACCAATCCATGAAATCGCCATTGTTGAAAAACATGAACAGTGGATGGTTGATTATGGTCGAAATTATAACAGTGAATCGGAGAAGGAGAAGCGTTTTAATATATTCAAGGAGAACTTGGAATATATCGAGAGCTTCAACAATGCCGGAAACAGGAGTTTTAAGTTAGGCCTGAATGAGTATGCAGATTTGACACAAGATGAATTCATTGCAGCTCACAGTGGATATCATAAGATGCATAAGTCTGAATCGACATCGTTTAAGTATGCAAAACTTTCAGATATTTCCAAGGATCAAGTGCCACTGGATATAAGCTTCGATTGGAGGGATCGAGGTGCCGTCACTCCTGTTAAACAACAGGGAAAATGCAGTAAGTTTTATAGTTATTTACTGATTTTTTGCTACTGTTATTGTTATCTAATTGAAAAAGGTTAAGTTTGTGAGTAATGCAGATGTTGATACTTTTGGAGAGTGAATGGTTGGAGCGAGTAATTTTTAGTAGCGTATTTTAAAATTTAAAAATGAATTTAACATTTTAATACTCTTTTCAAAAAAATAAATATACAACTTTATTTTTTTTATTTTCCTTAACACATTAAATTAAATTTAATATTTTCTCTAAAATAATGAGATGCACTTTATCGAGACTTAGTACATTTGCCCCTTTACTACTTTTATAGTACGCCTCCCCTATTTGAGATATTTTTGTTTTTATTCTTTTTTTTGTTGTTGAAGAATTTCTTGTTAAAGAGAGTAAGGATTTTATTTCACTCCTGGTGTACATGATTTGAAATGCTATATTAACCTTGATGAGTAATGTCTACTTTTACGATTACACCAATCCATGTAAAATTATTTCTTATAAATGACTTTAAACAATGCATAGTAAACTGTTCTATTTTACTTTAGTATTATTTATTAGATAATACTAATTATATTATTTTACAACAGTATTATTTTGATGTTTTTCTTCAGATAGTTGTTGGGCATTTGCAGCAGTGGCAGCCATTGAATCATTGACCCAAATCAACACAGGTAAGTTAATCTCCTTATCCGAGAAACAACTGGTGGATTGCAGCAGAAACGGTGAAAACCAAGGTTGCAACGGCGGTGTAATGGTGGATGCGTACCAATACCTAATCCAAAACGGAGGAATAGCCACAGAACAAACCTACCCGTACAATGAACTCCAAGAAACTTGTGACACAGTGAAACAGGCAAGCAAAGTATTCACCATCACCGGCTACGAAGTGGTGCCTGCAAACGACGAGGACGCGTTGCTCAAAGCCGTCACGAATCAACCCGTCTCGGTTGCGATCGACGGTAGTGGACCAGCGTTTAGGTTTTTTCAGGGCGATGGGGTGTTCACCGGAGATTGTGGCACCGATCTGAACCATGCGGTCACAGTCGTCGGGTATGGTACGAATGCAGATGGTTTGAAGTATTGGGTGGTGAAGAATTCGTGGGGAGAGAACTGGGGTGACAAAGGGTTTATGAAGATTCAAAGGGGTGTGAATACAACAGGTGGTTTATGTGGTCTAGCCATGCAAGCTTCTTATCCAGTTGCAAACTCCGTGTAACTTAGTGGCATCTCTTTAGCTTTATATATATCAGTTTATGTTTTTCAGATCGGATAAGTTAAGAGTTATATTGGAACCAAACTTTGATTTGCTAAAAACATGCTTTGTCTAATTTTTTTTTTAAAAATCATTGACAAAATTAACATAAACATCGTTTTAAATATTAGTATATATCACCAAAATGATAACTTTTTGTATGATAGGATACCCCATTAATCATGTCATTAGTTTCTTAGCTTTGTTCTTTTTATATAAGAAAATCAAACAAGTTAGAACTTTTCCTTTTCAATTAACCCGCGTGTATTAGTGAGCTTTTTTCATCCTTTTTTTTCTTGTTCCCACGGTAAACTGAATAATACTTTTGATATTATTATATAAAATATTAAATCAAAAAAGCCCGTCTAGCTCAGTCGGTAGAGCGCAAGGCTCTTAACCTTGTGGTCGTGGGTTCGAGCCCCACGGTGGGCGAATGTTAAGTTGCTTTTGTTTTTTTCCCTTTCAAGCTTCTACTACCGGAATCTCTTGTAGCAAATCTGGTGTTGAACTGAAATCTCTTCATGGAAATATTGTGAACTTGTTCACTTATGCATTCTTTTGATTTGGTTAGCTATGATCTGATCATGATGGTTACATTCCCTCATAAGCCAAAGCCAACTTGATCAATGATGAATGATTGATTATAAAGTATATCATGTTGCCCCTTCATACAAATTTTTTTATTTTTTTGCTTGAGAACCCTCATGGCTCGAGCTTTAAGAGCCTATTCCTTTTTTATGCTCTTTATACCTACTCAACCCAACATCAAGCTTCTTATCCACCGTATCTCCTCTTTTATGATCTAATCACGATGGTTCAGTTGCTGCTTCAATTTTCATTGGTGTCGCATGTGTGTACAAAATCTGTTGATACATCTTGTTTCTTAGTGTCTGATGCTTCAGTTTATCTGCTCTTCATCTATTCGACGTGATGTTACAAGATGTTTTCTTTCCCATGTGCCTCTACTACTACTACTGGTGTTGTCTCTTAATGCTAACAATCTCGTTTTGTAGATTGTATTTTGTAAGCTGTGGTTTTGGTTTGGTATGGAGTACCCATCGTCTCTTGATGGTGTGGTTTTGTGAGCTTAGCAACTTTGTTTTTGAGAAAAAATCAATTTTAATGAATGAAAAAATGAAATTTTAGATGAAAGAACGAAGAACGATGAAGAATATTTTAAATTTAATTTCCTTATTCCATCAAATTTGTATAAAATAATTAGTCTTTTTTTTATTTTCATATGATGATTTTGCATTGAACATTAAAAAAATTAATTAATGAAATTAAAAGGAGAGAGAGGGAGTTAAGAACATAAATATAACACTAGCTTGTTTCTTAAAATTTAGAAGTACAAATGCTACAAAAACAACGGCTTAGTACATGTAATTTTATTTCGCAGATAGAGAAATGTGGATTAAACGAAGTTACGCGACCGGAAAAGAACCTTTCATGGCGATGCCACATAAGCCACCTGGTGTATCGGCACCCCTTTGGATTCTCATAAACCCATGTTCACCCCAAGTATCTCCCCATGGATTCTCATAAAAGTGTAAATATCATTAAAGTTATATTTATAATTTGATGAGGAACAGAGTTATAAGTACAGACAATAACTACTTTCGATTACATCCTTGCAGAAATAAGGAATAACCATAATTATGGATTTTAATCCAACATGGCTGCCACTGTTAAAAATGCCCAACAACATCCTGCAAAAGTATATAATGGCGGAAGTTTGATTAAGCTCAAATGAGGGTACTATTAAAAATAATATAAATTTGTTGATCATAAAATTTAATTCATCGGTCGCAGACAATTTATTCTTTTTAATTTGGACACGACTAGTGAGAGAACGACTGTTGATCAATGTTAAGAGAAAAAGAGACGACCGTGGTAATGAACAATTAATCCATTTTTTAATCTTGATTAGAATATTTATAGTGGTCTTTAGTGCATATGTCAATCCTATGATCATTATAATTATTTGTAGGCTCACGGACTAGATAAATTTAATAATTAGACCTTGGGTTTTGTTCAAAAGATGTAAGCTTGTCAAAGACTATGGTAAACGAAGAGATATGTCTAAAGATTTTGGTCGATGGTTTAGAGGTTTTCCAAGAACATCTCCGGAGATATAATAAAATTATATAAGAAGTTACATTTTACATTTATATAAGTGGATTATTGTAGATACAAATTAATACTTACCACATCTGCCTTGATTCTTAACAGAAGTGACGGCACCTTTGTCCCTCCAATCGAAGCTTGCGGGAGCATCTGAAAACTTTTCATACAGAAACGATGTCGATTCGGACATTGCGAGGTTGTCTTGCATGTTGTATCCAGTGTGAGACGCAACGAAATTCATTGAGCCCCAACTTAAAACTCCTGTTTCCGCCATTGTTGAAGCTCTCAATATATTCCAAGTTCTCCTTGAATATATTAAGAGCTTCTCCTTCTCCGAGCTGATGGCATATTTTTGACCGTAATCAGCCATCCACTACTCGTGTTTTTGGCAATGGCGGTTTCATGGATTGCTCGGGACATGACAAGAGATGCTAAAGTCGCAAGAGTTAAATACAAAAAGACATGGATTGAACTCATTTTTTTTGCAGTATATGCAAAGATAGATGTTAAGATTAAACAAAAATACATAAAAACCTCATATTATTTTTTTATAAAAAAACTACATATAAATGTTAATATTATTAATAATTTAATTTAAAATTTTAATATATTCTTTTGAGTTGTTCGTGAAATTTTCTAATCATGTATCAAATAATTTAGTTCAGCTTGTTAAGAATTCGAGTCAAATCGAATCTACTTACTTCGAATGTTAATCAAACATTGACCGAATCAAACTAAAATATTTCACGATATGTCTCATCTCATTTACAGTCCTACAGTCTTATGTAGATGAATAATCTACTCTTTGTAAACCTTTTTACATTTTTTTTTGTAACGGAATACGATTCGAAGAAAATACCGGACATTAATACTAATTAATATTGTGTTTTAAATTTGAATCTTATTCTTTATAAATTATGTGACATCAATCTCATTCAATCTAATGATAAAAACCCTTAAATTGTATAAATAAGATTTTGATTTATTAGGCAAGGGGACGTTTTTAATAGGATGTTGTTAGTTTAAACCTAAGTTTGGGGTGGAAACGTTGATAGGGTTGACCCGTAACTTGAGGAGGAACTGAATCAGAGTTATATTTGAGAATATTACAGTGTTGTATTACTGTTTTTCTATTCGCATGCAAACATATTCAGATATAAAATTTTATGTTAAGGATATGAATTTAATAAAATATATTAAAACTATTTAAAGTGTAATTTTAAGAGATAAGAAATCGGATTATTAATAAAAATTATTAAAAATACTTAAAATATATGTAAAATTTAAATTTTTAGAGGTGCAAGTACGACTGTCAACGAATCGTGTCGAGCTCGAGTATTGCTGAGCTCTACTCGACTAAAAAATTCACGAACTTAAATTTGTCAAATTCGACTCAAACTCGAAATAAAAAAAAAATTGAAGCTCGACTCGACTTGAAAGCTCGTAAGCTTAGAATTTTCAAGTTTCACTTGAAATAAAAAAATTGAAGCTTAACTCGGACTCAAACCCAAACCTTAAGTACAAGAAAACTTTTTTATTATTATACAAAAATATAAATATTAATATTACTAATAATTTAATTTAAAAATTCTAAAGTTTTAATATATTATTTTTTCGAGTAGCTTGCGAGTTTTTCGAGTCAAGTATCAAGTAGTTCGCTTCGGTTTATTAAAAATTCGAATCGAAATCGAACTTGAATCGAATCCATTCGATTTAAATATTAATTGAATCAATCTTAAATAACTCGTGATATGTGTATCTCATTATAACCCTAAATACAAACACGTCCCTTGATATTCTATCGATTTATCCCTGACCTCGTTTAGTATACATACGAACCAAATAAGAAGAAATGACTTCTCCACACAATACTTATCTAGCGCTCCGATTGAGCAATATTTACTAGCACGATTTGCGCTTATTTTTCTCTTAATTTCTATCGTTGGATACATAGATGACCAAGATAGACTAAACTCTAGTCGCAGGCAACTGCCCTCATTGTACGTAGGTTGGGTATGCGTCGGGTTAGATTGGATTTTCAATCAACTCGAGTCGACTTGAAAAAATATATATCATTTATCTGTAATTTGACCAGACTGAAGTTTAAGGTAATTTTATTAAATTTGAATTCAATCCTACCGAAATAAATATATTTATAAAAATATTAATTTTATTTGATAAAAATAGGATTCTAATTGAAAAAATAGTATATATAAGAGTATTATTATAATTATCTTTAAATATATAATATAGAATTGCATTATTTTTTGAGTCGAGTATTTTCACTTAAAACCCGAACCATATATAATATAAAAAACTTGACATAACCTAATCTAAATCTGATTTTTTCTTTTAAAAAATCCAATCCGATAGAATTAGGTCGAGTTAGAAGTCGTCAAATTTGAGTATCGTATCTATCCTTACTTACATGAGAGTATGGGCGATTCATTTATTTAGTTGTTTTTTTTATATAAAAAATCAATCTTTTTCCTAATAAAAAAGTTTACCATGGCTTCAATCAAAGTTCACGATAGTTTAAGTTAAATTTCAGAATTAAATTTAAAAAGTGAAAAAAGTCACTAAAGGATAAATTTAATGAGATAAAAAAAGGAAAACTGTTTAAAAAATTTAAAATATTATAAATAAAATAATTCTTCATATTATAAATATAAATTAATTTAATTTTTATAAATGTATACAATTAATCACAATTATAATTTCTCCTAAATATACTTGTTAGTTAGGCCATCTCCAGCGATGCGCATCACTGGAGTGACATTCATCTTCACTTTGGAGTGCTCCAACCCATCGCCATTGTTATGCTGGATTGTGGCGTC